AGTTATTTATCAAGGTTAAAGCTTGAAGTAATATACTTCAGGCCCTATAAATCCCAAAGGATCCTGGTTATCATGGTGATTCCTTCTGTTAGTGGAGTGATATTCGATAAATATTAATTATTAATAGATATTAGTAATCCTGTGTTCTGATGGTACAAACGGAAATACAAAAGCTCTGCAGCAGTGCTGACGGACTTCGAGGTTCATCAGACAAATTAGCTGCGTACATTTTAGTCCTATAAACCACCACANNGCTTTCTTCACGTAAAGATTGGAAAAAAACCAATATCACCATGCCTAAGCGATCCCCGTTAACGACAACTGTGAAACCGGGGCCGTCTGGGTTGTCTCGACGAGGAGGGATTTGATTTCATTGATGCGTCGTCGGTTCACCAGCATTGCATTAGGTCAGTGGTTTCCCCTCTACTCCGGCTAGATGAAGTTCAGTTTATATACAAAAACAATTTATTGCGAAAATTTGGGTTGTATGAGATCGATAAAATCTCAGATCTGATTCACTTTCCTTCATACTTCATCTTTCCAAAAATACCGGATTTTATTAATATTCCTTCCTTTCATTGGCAATACAAAGATATAATTTTCAGGAAGGAGGAATCGGTCAATCAAAGGGCTGCCATACAACACCGAAGATAGCGAAGTTAGGTGGCGGTGTTAATTGGATTCGAACATGTGTCCCCTAAGGTGATAATTTAGTGACGTTACCACCGGGCCACCACCTCCCATGCAGTTACCCAAAGAATTGGAAGGCTCAAGTACTGTTCTCATCAGAGCTCACCCTCCGTGCGCGAGTTAGCTGTAGGATTACTGAGTTAGGTGCTCACAGACATCAGGCATAAAATTAGTTTGCCTTAAGAATAACAGATAGATCTTTATCAGCTTTGTCAGATTTTGTCCCTAACTTTATATGTGTATGCTACTATCAAATGACTCAATTCGTTGATCATACCCCAAGCCGGTCATATACGTCTTGTTGCAGTATGATTACTGTTAGACCCAAGTTCAAACGGCCTCAGACCAGTGGAGACAGACAAAGGTTAGAGGTGATTGAATACGAGTCCCGAATGAACACAACGCTTACCGAATATCTGTTTTTGATGGCTATTGTTCATATAATTTATCAAGGTTGCGTTCGTAAAAGTTTCTAATACAATACCCGCACAATTCGTACACAGTTTGAGGTGTTTGTAAATAAACATTCTCGGGACTTCCGTCACTTGAATCATGATGGATTTGTTTTTTGAATAGTTTTACTGTCCATCGAAAATTTTTCGGACTCCGGTAATTACCAGACTAATTGCCAATCAATTTCTTCTCGGACAACAATCGATTTTTTGTGTTTGTATTTTTCTCAGGTATACAACATGAGAGCCAATCCAATGTTGAGACTTTTACCGGGAAAATTGATTGGTGAATTTGTGACAGATGTACAAACGGTTTACGATTACAAAGGTAAGCATTGTATTGCAATTTTTGCTGATTTTGGTTTGTCAGCCCAAGGAATTGTAAATTATCAGTGTTAACACACGTTCTCTCTGAAGTACGAACTCCATGCTCATTCAGTGGGACAGGACCTAAATTAGGAGTGGTGAGAGCATCGGGGAGGAATCGCAGACCGGCGAATTCTGGTTTGTCTCGCAGCAGTAATGGATGAGCAATGCATATCGTGTATTGTTGACGTGAATTAACCTTCTGACGGCCTGATTAGTCCACGGGATACAGAGTTATCCATCTGTTAACTCTAGGAGAAGGTCTTCTTCTAAGTCAAATCCTTCGGGCAATCTTAACACAATAAAACCCACTAGGATGGATTATAATTCATATGTAACCCACAGGTACTTGTGAGTAGTGTACGTTATATCGTGTAAAATAAAGATAAGCGAAACGTCCGTCGAAAGTGATTAGATGTCCATAACACTTGACTAAAACACTCCCTATTTCCAACTGGTCTCAAGGTCCCGTAATGCGAAGCATTACACGACTTACATGATCAAGTCCCATGAAAAATGCTACAGTATCTTCACTTCAGGTCATAATCTATCCTCTCGTGGCCTTCTTATAATCTTCACCTGCCCCAATGGTTGATACTTGCCGAGGACTTTCATCCGGTGACATGCGTGTCAACTTATCTGCTTCGCAATCTGCCAACATCAAGCATCCGTGTTAGTGCAATACCGTGATAGCCCACAACCCTTCATCTAATATTTGTTTTGGTCATCCAGTTGCCCCTCCCCACCCCCCTCGCCTCACACGCACTGGCAGACTGATGCGACGTGCAGTAAAAAAAAGCGGCATTTGATAGTCTGTATTGTTATCTTTTCTTTCGATACCGCAGTTGAATTTGTTTGGATAGGCGAGAATAATTAGAAAGTGATCATCACGATTTGTCAACGCGCCACACACACGGCTGGAGAGCTCGTAGCTGCTGCTGCTTCCTTAGCAGAGCATATTTATCATAGTTGAGACAGCCCAAATCAGCACGTGTGGTTCTGGGTAAATTGCTGGAATTAGTTTCCTATCATCTCAGGGAATCCGTGTCCGCGATCACAAAGATCCAAATTTATACAAATAACACAGAGGAGAAGTGAACAGGAGTAGACTTTCAATATTCGTTTTAAACGTGCATAGTAATCAATTCCCGTATGAATTGTTTTTTCCCATTTGAAATGCCTTTTCCAGGACACTGTTTATTCAATAAATGGGCTTTGATTATTGATCCAAAGGATCCATGGGCCGGTCCATGTGGATTTGTCAAGGTCGATATGGCCATTTTGGAACAAGGTCAACAGTTAAAAGTGAGTCTAATCGTCCCGGTCGAGATGTAAATAAGCTTACATAATTGGTATTTTGCAGTAGTGGGAATTTCGAATGCGAGTTGTTTTCTCTAGTGACCGTTACACCGACGTGTTCAACTGATTCTTTACTCAGAGGTCTGAATCCTTCCGGATACACCGATATGTTTCTCTATAGTTACCTCAGTGTACCCAATCCTGTCCACTGTTAATGTTGATGAGCAGTTCGATTTGGAAGTGTTGGATGCAGATGTTTCTTAAGCCTGGCTATGCGCATTAGCATCAGTGCGACTTCGGGGAGGCGCCACATCTCAGTGTGACCGAACTTACACGGTCTTGTTTCGGGGTTTTGATTGGCTGTTTTCGTCCCTTCAATCCTATTGGTCAACTATGCCTATTCAATACTGTGTTCGTTCATCTTATCCTATCCGAACACGGTAATATGTATTGATTGACTTTTGATGAGCGATTCACGTGAAACAGAGTTGTTGCCCAGTGGTCCAATCACACAAAGATCTTTTTCATACAGTGTACTTCCAATTGTTACATGCAATCCATGAGCCCATCATCATCAGTTGATAACATTGACTCCTATTATCTATGCTAGAACACTTACAAACCAGGTGCAACTGATTGGTTTTAAAGCATTGAAAGATTGTTAAATTTCATGAACTGAAAATGATGCAGCCATATTTTCCTCTTCATCTTCGTTACACATCCACAGCGCACGAAAAGAGAAAAAGGCGACCAAGATGAGAATATTGAAGCGTAAGTTCATTGAGAGCTTTCCGAGATCCAATGATGAACTTCAGCCCATGTTAAATAGGCGGTGTTGACAGACAGACGCCTACCTGATCCGCTTTTTCACATATGGCATATTTTGTCATTCAGCATTCGCAAATCTCCATTCATCCTCATTAGGTACTCGTATTCTATATACCCTATTCCAAGTGAATTCCAGTTTTGCACCTGACTAATGCTCCCGTCTAAGTTTATCACTTAACCACTTTTATGTCGCATCTACCCTACAATATCTACATCAGGTGTTAAATGATTGAAGACGGCATCTGAAAAGAACTTGCATTGACAATTTCCGTTAGCTCGGTTGTGTGGTGATGATATTCTTTCCATGGGAGGGGTTCGGAGTTGAAATCCCGAACGGGACGAAAGATATGCACTGCTGAAGAAGAGAGAAACTCGAGTTTATTGCCTTTTGAGTGTATGCTTGACTGGAAAAACTGAGAGTTGTGCCTGGAAACGAAATGTGAAGGGTGAACAGTCAAATTCTCATACGCTGTCGACATGTCAAGTAGGCATCTACTCCTGCAAATGTTTTACCTTTATAGCTCAGTAAAGATCACCAGCAGGGCATATCCATCGGGTTCGGGACAGCTCAAACTCGATTACGCGAGGTTGCAAGTTCTACATATTATCACTGCATTTTCCCAGCCACGGTACTGGAGTGTAGGTCGCTTCAAACCTACTTAATGTAGCGCGCGTCCGTCTCTGGGCTGTTGACAGTGAACCACTGTATAGTCCTGCATTCCTGATGGAAAATTGAAGGCAGTCACTGTCCAATGGGCCTCTTAACGTGTAGTGCTAGCTAGCATCAACTCAACCACCGGAGCCAACACGAATAACCTAGCGGTAACGTATGAAACAAACAGTCCCGCATGTCTGAATTCAGGCCGTCGTAATTTCGGTTCAAATCCCCTACCGTTGTGTAACAGGAGTTCTGAATCAAATCATACACCTGGAAAAGTCAAGGTGTGAGTTATTAATAACTTTTCTAAGTACATCCGTAAGCCGCTTTTTCCCAAATCGCTCATTACGACATTCGTATAAAATAATCCATCAATCGCTACTATCTACGTTCTCTCCCTCTCTCTCTCTCTGCGTTCCTATGCACAGTAATCTAATTCTGCCCAGGTATCTACACGGGCATCGTCAAGATCGTATGGTCTCGATGGCTGTCCACGTGTACCAAGCGGAAGATCTGCCCCCCATGCACACAGATATCAGCAATCAATTTCGCCAAGCGTTCGTGGGAGAGGGCGCGGCAAATGTGGATCCGTACGTGGAAGTCAGCTATGCCGGATTCACTGTGAGTGTCTGATTTCGACACGGATCTGAACTGTTCTATTTTCTTGTTCAACACTTCACGGAGTCTCATCGTTTGCTCGTCCCAAAGGGAAATCACGTATTCCTTCTTATTTCACACAAAAAATCATTTGAATACTTTTGTCATATATGCATCTCGTATAGTGAGTGCACTTGCGTTGTTGCATGTTTGCACGTTTGATATCTGTGAACAGTTTGCAGACTTTGTCCAGTAGGCCTAAAAAGGCTTCGTGTGGTCAACTGCTTTAGTGCAAGTCTTCAGCCTGAACCATTCCGGATGAGAGGAATAGAGTGGTAATCACTTACACTGTGAACTTTCAGTGCTACCACTCGTAATAGACTGCGAATATTTCAGGGAAGCTTATTAGTCATGCATAGAAATCCATGTCCCTAAACACTGCTACTGTTGGTTCGCCACCATTTCGTCGGCCAAACGGGAACAAACAACTCGTCCGTGACATTCTGTCAGTCAACTAACTGAAAAATTGAACCTGAGTAGATGGAATAAACTCATGGCAGTCCTGCAACGAACGCGTTTGGTTCAGGCTAGCAATGCGGTATTGATCCAACTGAAACGACAACCGAGTGGCAAAATCACTGAAGTAAAGTTGATTTGTGTATAATTGGAATGACGGTGAGCTGTATTCTGCCTAAGAATGTGCAAAACAATATGAACATCTGGATGCATTGTCGGTGGTGGGTATTCAATGCGCACCCACACTGAATGCACTCAACGACCTCAGTGTAGCGGCCAACCCCTGTATTAGTTTGGTCAACTGAATTCAATCAACTAACTTGAAAGGATGGATAAACAACACAGAATTCTCTTTCTATAATGACTTCGCTCCAATGGAACAAGCCAGGAACGTGTCGATCCTATATTACGAATGTTCTGATCACACACTGCTCCCCAATCCTCATTTAATCACCTTTCACTAATGGATTCGATTGATTACGCTCTCGTGACAATCGAACCCCTCCTGACGGCTTTCCCTCACCTAAATGACCACCCTCAAGGTAAGGTGTGTTGTCATTCTTTGTAGCGGTCGCCGATGAACAGACAAATCCCTCGGGACAGTATGAAACGGGGGAGGATGCAAATCATATGATCGGTGATCACAGACATTTTGTTTAATCTCTGTTGTCTTCGCACTTTAAGGATGTCAAGATTACCGCGGCCATGGTGTGTGTGTGTTTGAGGGGAGCTTTGTATATGGTCACAACAGCAAGGGTAGGAATCCGTCGGCACAACTCCTTCTGGCTGACCGAAAACAGTTTGTGCATGCGCTTCAGCTAATCCAAACAGGATGATATTAGAACTTCTTTTCCTCGCTCGCACACGCACAAGTAACATGGACGATCGGATGAATATGATCATTGTGAATCTGACATCCAGTCTAAAGATGAAATCGGTTCGACTAATTTATTGGGTGAATTTTCAACCCATAAGACAATTTGTCCTCTGAATAAAGAGAACAATACTAACGGTGAACATCTTCTAATTCCGGAATCATTTAGCCGCATTTCAACTGATGACATGCAGAAAACAAGAGAATTTATATAGTCTGCTTTCTGAAGTAAGTATCAGCTGAAATGCATCAAAATGGTTTCCTGAATCAAGTCATGTTCAATGACAATGTTGTGTGCTTTATTACAATGATTTCCGGAAAATCATCATTGCTTTGATTTTCTCCTTACTCATGATTTATCCACATAATTGCGAATCAAGTGCCTGATGTGCTTCTTTAATTCTGTCAATATCCCATTTTTCCTCAGATTCTCTTACTGCCACCACTACACACAATTAGTGTTCGTCCACGACGGTGACAGGCTCACGTTATCGAATGTTTTGTGTAGAACCAATTGATAAAATCAATCAGATTGATAATCATCCTGCACGGGTCTTGGGGACTTGTATACGTTTATTCGTTTATCTCAACACTATTTTGTTCATGTTATTTGATCTGATTGAGCGGAATTGTTGTCGAAACCCTAGCAAAATGACCAGCTATTGAGTGCAAACGATATTTTTTCCTAGACAGAGCAAAGAAAAACGTGAAGTTAACGTCTCACGAGGGGGCCGGGGGGTGAGTGGATGGGAACCGCAAGGCTGTTTCCTCCTTGTTAGGTGTCTTCCGCCGGGAGCATACATCAACTCAGTCGTGAAATGGAACTGGAGGCTAACCGGTGGTAAATGGGCTTAACCGTAGAGACACTATGAGACACACTAAACGCCGCGGATGAACAACGTCAACGTGATAGAGGTTCAGGCCCGCGGGTTGAGGAAATGCATACGTATCGACTGCTGTCTGCGCAGATAACATGTGAACTGATTGTTGAAGACTGATTGCCAATCCGATTGAAGTGTGGACTAAATCATAGTCAAGAAAAGTTTCCTCTGCTTCGCAAACGACATATATCCACAGATTGATTTGACAACACTATGTAACCTGATTTACGTTTATTTAGTTTAATTTTAATTGTGCGAACAAGCGAATAGTGTACATTTGGATTGTGGAAAACCATAACACCAATGTGAAAAGCATCAATAACACCTTCTGTTGCATCACAAGGAAAGAAGGATGCTCCGGTTTCAGCTCAACGGATTGGTTGGTTGTATTGTTGATTCAGGGGTTAGAAGAACTTTTTAAGATGAATCCAAAGATGAATCTGTTGGAGTCCCGTACTTGGTGACGTAAATCACGGAATCGGTTCAATTCCAAGTGTCGTTACCATCACGTGACATAAAAAACATTTTATCTTCGCTGATATACTCTAATTAGTGACTGCTATTTACTATTTTCAGTGACTCCAAGGCAATCCCCAAATCAGACAACAGAACTCTTGAGCTCCACTAGATTGAACCTAAGTAGTTTATCACACGACAAAGTTTGTTCATCTGCTATTGAACGAGTGCTGATATTATCGGATGTAATAATAACAATATCAAATTTGGAATTCTTTGTATCATAACTGTGGGATGGAGTGAGTGAGCAAATAAATATGAGTAGAGAAGACGAAGGCTGGATGATATTCTGAAGTTTATAATGGTGAAATTCACGCATTGTAAACGGCTCATTTTGTTCATCATACATACCCNCCCCCCCCCCCCCCGATAAGTCGTTAGCGAGCAGTCACCATTGTTTTGTTTGCTGATTACATTATTTCAATGAGCGCTGAACGGTGTGGACAAATATATGTAGAAACACACACTCACATCCTTCAGGTTTGAGCGCTTCAATTGTAGGAAAAACGATGAACTGGTGGAATTTACCCATATCTTACTTTTGTAGGCACATTTCTCGAACAGTACTATAACAACGAAGTTTATTGACGATACATTTTGATCTCGTTGTTTGTGAGGGAAAATTTGTTTACCGCCGTCTGTGGTGGGGTTGGATATAATCAGACCGATAAAGCTAGCACTGAACAGATTGCTTAGGCAACGATTGAGATTCTTATGCCACGTGCCAGAGGTTTTCAATCATAAGGTGGTTACTGGGTAGAAAACACAATGTTTTAGCACGGCAGCATGGAAAAGTTAAACACATTAAAATAGTCAAATATAAAAGGAGGGAGGGAGGGGGAGTATAAAAGGACCTGTTTGTCCTTAACTTGATGACATGGTTCGTTTAACCTTCGCCCCTTTCGTGTTTGCCTGTTTTAATGCATTCCACTTTACCGTGCTAAAGTTCCATATAAAAATTGTGTTCTGCAGTATGACCATGTTCAGATACAGCGAAATCGTCCTGGATATAAATCACACAGTATTGCGATATGGTCTGTTCTTTTTGGAAATTGATCTCGGGAAGGGCTTAATTCGGTTATTGGGTAGTTACTGAGCACTGAAGAATTCTGGCTTTAACAAAAATATTAGCAACCACAGAGGCTACGAGTATCAATCTAATGTAGTTCCAGTTGTGTTTAAAGCGAAAGTTGATTCAAACACTTTATGTACCCTGGCCAAAAATTCAAGGTAAAGCTGTTTCGACTTGGTTGGGTATCAACAGCAAGGTGAATCCATCGTCCCGACTAAGGATCGAACCAAAGATCTCGGGGGTAGAACTCAAGAATACTACCCATTCGATCACCGGGAAACTGAACAGACCGTCGCTTATCTCAGCAATAGCTCCTCATATTGTTTCGTAGAGATTTGATCGAACAGGTCCACATACAAGCTTCAAACCATGTTCTATGACTAATGAAAGGGAATAAAGTGATCAGTTATAACAACACAACCACTGGTTCTGTCTAACCACACACAATCTAATGTTTGGCGAAACAGTTGGAACAAGTTAGTTGAACTCCAAACCCAAGTGACCTATCACAATTCGCTTAATTCCGTTCCATGATCACGGTTTATAGACCTTTAATTCAAGTCCTCTGGCCGTTATCCACCTTGAAGAGTTTTCCTATTAAGCTGCATCTCAATTTCCATCTTCACTTTGTTTTGTTTTCATTAGTCCAACACAACTACAACATCCAAGTTGTTAAGATTCTCAACCTAACATGTCGGTCGAAAACTGATGTTTTTCAGCAAACGCAGTGAATAAAGTTTCGATTCCCGGAATATGATAAAACAAGTAACCGGGTGAATTTCAACCCTATTGACAAGTAGTTAGATCCTGGAATATATACACACATTGTCGGTAGGTAGCTTTACTATGGACGTGCTCCCATCGCCGCTTCCGTAAACCTCCAATTGATAGGTGACGGTTCGTGCAACTGAACAGTAGATTCTCGTGACTACGGGTTGTTTTCTGCTTCTCTGGTTCAGCATAAATATCGGGTGAAATAATGCGAATGCCTCTCGAACAATTTTGACTAATTTATGAAACGGTTAATAACAACTGGAAAGTGCTGTCCGTTCGTTCTCGGGAGCATTCTGGATTGTGAAGGCATCCCACAGGCCTAGGTGAATACTCGTCAATCTGGCAGCGAACTAGTAAGGCAAACAATCCATCAAAGCTTTGCATATACTTACTAACCTGTGAATAAAGCAATCGTATGAGACGATCATCAATGAGAATAGTTTCTCAAACAATTAGCGATCGGGAGCCCCACTCTTTTTCGTTATCAGAAAGCATCAATCCACAGAAATAGTTTATCTCTCTCTCCCGAGGTTTACAATTGGTTCACTTAAACACCGGTAGTATTTATGTGACCACACCAAATTGCCCCTTTCTTGTGAATCGATTCGGACAGAGGTGACAGACTTGTCAAAGATGGTTGAAGTATGAAATATTAGATTAACCTCAACTGGGAAATTGATGGATGCGATTGCACGGGAGCCCCTAACGACATTCGTGTAAACGACAGAGACAATCGCACACAGGAAATGAATACATTTCAAGCTGTTCACAACTAGTACACAGCACAGCCAAAGTCAGACCGGCATTATGAGCGAAACAGAATGACAGGGATGCGGTTTCATTCATTTTGGTGTAATGAATAACCATCGTCCTCCTCTCTCTCTCTCCTTCTACTCCGGGTCAGAAGAACCCAACAATTGAAATCAGATGATGCAGTCAAAGTAAGAATTACAATCCCTCTGTCACGTCACTCAAGATTGTTCTTGATCTTTTTCAATTTCTCCCTTTCGTTTGGATCAAGTGATTGGAAAAACTATCGCCAAAAATCGATAGAACAAAAAGGGAACCTCGATTGTGATCCCCGTGATCCATTCAGCTCTGATTTGTGTTTTTGTGTTAACCATATTTAGATTTCAGAGTTAATTCAGCTGTTCGTAGTGTTTTTAGCAATCAGACAGATCGGCGGACCGGCCAGTCGATTCGCTATTGGATTTTCTTCGTCTAGCACGGTACCATTTAGGTACAGTTATTTCCATCTCCGTGGACGGAAAGCATTCGTTGAAAGTGATTTGGTGAAATGAATTATCGTCTTCGAATGCATTTGAATTAGTCATAGATGGTGCACGTCCAGGAAACAAACCACGTCGTCGTGCTTGCACGTTTCTTCCGGGTAGATGAAAATGTTTCTGACGTAGTGGATTTGGGGCATCTCCTTCACCGGAACCCATCCACTGAGGAACAACCGGTGTTTGGGCCATAATGGGTCTCATTCGGCTGTAGTTACGAATAAGCAGAACGATAAAAGACACTACCAAGGTGACCACGATCACGCTCAGTACTAGCTTCACATTAGAAAGAGATGATAACGATAAATTCCAAAACCCCACATGCGTCGATTGTGACTGCCCTCCGGGACTGGGACGGAGCCTGTCTGGAATAAATCGATGAAGTGGTAAAATGGGAAAATTTTCCGTATTGTCTTCCACTACCACTGGACGAATGGGATGAAACAGGTTACTCAATCTTCCTCTGACGTACTTCTCAATCAGCTGAAAATCTGGTACATTCACAGTCACAAAGTATAAAATTTCCACTGGTTTTTCCGTTTGCCTATATGGGCTGAACGAACGATCGATTAGCTGACTTGCCTGATGTGATCCACACTTCACATTAGTCAGCGCATCCAGATCACGTAACCCCCTATCGAGCATTGTCTGAGTCACATTAGACCACGTAACTCTAGTAGTACGAAGTTGGGTGCGAATCAATTGTTCCGATCCATCCACACTGTGAAATGACAATTGAGGCGGGGACAGTTCACGCCACGCATCCCGGTCATATAAGATACGCAATTGACCGTCAGGAACGTGACCTTCACATGTGAATTGAACTACTTCATCCAATGGGACTACGTGAACCAATGTTCGACCAGTTGGCTCGCTAGGAATGAGGAGGGATTGACTAGTCCGAGACATTGTTTTTACTGCTCGTTTTAGGACTAAATCTTGCTCAGAGATGAGAGAGGATTGAGCTAAGCGGATTGCTAGTTCATCGATCGCTTCCGTCAGAGTCATCGGATCCGGGTTCAGAGTGGTCAAAAGTAAGTCCGTGGAAGCGAATTCTGTGGTGGAAGTCCCGTGTTCTAACCCAGAAAATTTATCCTTCGTTAACTGATCATCTTTCTGGAGCACATTATTGGTTTCACTAGCTACTGACTCGTTCCAAGTAGACAATACTGCAGCGTCCACTTCGGTATCTCGAGATGTCTCCAACGGATTTGGATCATAGATCAAATACGGATCGGTGCGATTGGATTGAAAAATAAGTCCCAGTAAATAGGGTCCAAAGTGAATGGTAAATTGTTTGAGATAGACAGTATGTATCGAGCGTGCCAAACTGACAACATTTGTCGGCCAGGATTCAGTTGGTCGCATGATGCCGTCCGTGGAGTCCTCTGATGCGGTTGTTTCGCCAGCGACTGTGAACCCATTGGTGTGACGTTTGTGAGCATCATCCTTTTGTTTCTCACTGTTACTGGATGACACGGACGAAGTGGTTTTGTGCGTCTCCAATCGCATCTCAAATTCCTGACGATCATGTACCAATTGAGGTCGAATTCCAACAAGTATGGTGTGTTCGTCACGATGAAGCCAAATTTTCACATGCTCTTCTTTTATCATAGACTGAAGTGTATGCAGTTCGCGTGATTTTAGATCGAACTGTATGGCTGGTATATGCTGAATAGAGATAATGAGAATCTGGTTGTCTTTAAATTTCGGGCGCTGTGCTTTTGTCCTGACACATGAGAAAAGTTTAATCTTTTCTCTGATATGCTCTTCAACGCCAACCACATGATAATTTCTATCTTCATTCTGGAAAAAAAGAATTACGTAACAGTACTTTTCCATCGGGTCTTGTATGCACAAAAGATATCGTCATATATATCTATCACCTGACTCTAAGCAAGCATAGTACTACCGCTAAAACAATTATTGTAGAATCTGGTACAAATGGAGGTCACGTGGGGACAAACAACTACGAGCAACAAAGGACCAGAACAACTGTGGTGGTTTTGTATCTATAGCTTTTGCAGCTCAAGTTATCCGAATGTTATTTCAAGCGTCCCGGATATCATGTCAAATTGTCTGAGCCTCATTTCAAGCTGACATGTACTCTCTCAGCGATGTCTGGATGACCACCATGCAGCACAGATTTTTACCTCACGTCAAAGCGCGGGGGGGGGGACGATTGTGCGACGTGCTTCGGTTACAAACTCCCCAATTCCCATGACATACATATTATTTTTCTATCTTGGTAGTACGCTACCCTCGCGCTTAGATGGGAAGTAGAAAAATCTGTGCTGCTTGGTGGTCATCCGGACGTCGCTGTGAGGCTTGAACAGTCCATGGGACTGTCAGTGCCGAGGAGGTCCACGAGACAACTTGAATTGCTAACGATATGGTATCGGATGGAATTAACCGCTCACTTTAATCTGTTATCTTGTATTTTCCATGTTTAACTGTCTCACTCACTTTTCCCCATGTTCTGTATCCTAATCCACCTATCCCCTTCACTGTCATTGTTGTTGCGTTGGCACCATGCTTATTTTCAAGCCGGTGGTAAATATATATATATATATATATATATATATATATACATGCATCACCAAACCGAGTTCGTGTTCTACTTAGGGAGACTCTGGTCAATCTGGTACTCTACCCTCAGGGACATTTTACCAGTTTTGAGGAAATCTCTACTCATCATGGAACTTGGGAGGAGGAGGGGGGGGGGGTAAATATTCCACCGACAAACCTGAATACCACATTCCCTTGAAAGCCAAGCGACCACAGAATTCAGTACTGGGTTCAAACCTGTTCCATCACAATTACTAAGATAATCCATCATGAGTTTCTTTCTTTCGTTCAATGATAAAAGCCTAAATTCAACGGGTAAACATGTCTGAATCTTTACGTTGGAGACACTGCCTCAGCGTTTTATCATTTCGTCAAGTTAGTTCAAGAGTGCACTTTATTCATCCAATGTGGATAGAATTTCAGTGAAAAGAATGTTATCGCTTTTGGTTTGGCATACACACTATTAATTTCCTCATTGTTTAACCTGAGAGATAGGCGACAGACGAAAACGAAAACCGGATCAGGAAAGTGTTTGGTCACATCGAAACCTACCGTGAAACACATTAACTAACTGTTTTTCATCGTATCGAGTGACAGTAAAAAAAGACTGCAAGCTTCACTCACCGGCTGAGTGCATATTCTAATATAGATCCATTGATCTGGTCGAATCGATTCTAACTCTTCTGGTAGAGTTTCGGTAGTGTACTTTTGCGTAAAGTCCCCAGTTGATTGGAATAATTCGTGAATTGCTTGACCTTGAACATGAGTCGGAGAGGATTGGAAATCGATTTGGGCTCTCAGATCTCGTCGGAGTCGTTTCCTTGTGTCCGTGCTATTCGATGTTGATTGTGTAGCGATGGAATTTCCACGGGACAACAGGTCATTCCATGAGTTTTTCTGATCTGGGTAAGCGCTGTGTTCTGAGTTAGCCGTTGTGGAATTTCCATTTTTACTGGTAGCAAAATTTAGTGTGGAATTCACTTTAAGCGGTGCAGAAAGTGGTAATCCAAAAACATTGTTCGGAATATAAAATATTAGGATCGCTGCGATTAGCCTGGCCGTAAAGGCAGATCCATTGTGTCGGGTCAATTGTGACATTATTCCAAAAGGGATAATCATGTGGTTTCAATCACGTAAGGTCGCATAGTTTAGTCCAACCAGCCCTTAGAAAGCATGCATGGGTCACGCATTAATCGCTCATGACTCTCTCGATCTCCGAGAGCAGGCCCAGCTGGCCAAGTTTGAACCCCACGATCGAACCGAATGACCTGTGGGAGGTGGATCGATCGGACCGACTGGATGTATCACTAACCTTGAGTGGCCGATATGGATGATAATCATGTGACCACTTATGGAGGAGAAAATCTTTGATGAAACCAAATACCATATAATCTACGCGCAGTTTTTAAGCGAACTCACCAGAGTAATATACTAAAGAAAACAGAGGTTAACAAACGGTCACATTACGATTACAATGAATCATTTGAAGTTGGATATTTAGGTATATCAACAAAGATTTGCCTCAATGAGGATTGCTTCATCTTTTTTATTCCAATGTAATAATGGACTAGAGAAATATCCAGCAGTATGCGAACACCTATCTTTGCTAGAATATTATATTGCTCTATTCTCTGATTTTCATCACAGTTTTCGTGAATTGTTATTCTAATACTCTTTTACTGTCTTCGATGGAACTAACAATAATGAATACATTTCAGGAAAGGGAAGGGGACAGGCTTTTATGCGATAGAAATAAGTGCGAGTGAAACGCGGATAGGCAATCTGAACCAACACCACTGGGTGCATATAGACCACAAAACGCGCATAGCATAGCAAGTATACTACTGCTCAAACAGTATACGTATACCAGTAAATGAAATCACAAGTGGCATTTACTTTTCGAGAGTTTCCCATTTACTACCCACAGTCTACTATTTTGGAACGCAGATTGGCAGTCGCTCTATCGAAGGGCAGGAATAAATGATCAAGTCGGATTCACCATGTTTTGATTCAACAGGTTCATCTTGCTCACAGAGACAAATAGCATGATCCCACTGAAAAGTTTCTTAAAATCAGAAATAAACAAAGATCAGTGTGTTTTTAGTAATCCGCAAATCTTTTAGTTTACGTTCATTTTTATCTATTAGTTAATATCAAATTAATGCTGCATCCATCTGGCGTAATGATTTCAATTGATTTATGATACAGCTTTGTATGATAAATGAGGCCCAACTAGAATAGACTTAGCGTCAAATCAGAGGAAAGTCAAGCTTCCTATCAGCAAACTTATGATGAGGGTCGTGGAGTTCGAACCTCGAACGATGGAAATGGAAGCAGCGGCTTAAACCGCATCAGCATCATCATCATCATCATCATCATCAGCAGCAGCAGCAGCAGCAGCAGCAGCAGCAGCAGCAGCAGCAGTATCACCCAGGTACGAATCCTCTTGGGATTAAGTAGTAGGAAATCGAGTCCTTTTGTTTCGGTAAACACATTCACTCAAAATAGTAGTCTTCTATTTAACTAAACATACTCGGTTTGAACCGATGGTCGATTCAACTCAATTTGATTTTATTTGCGGGTTTTTGATAGATAAATGGATGAATTTGTTAGCCAAAAATAGTTTCATGAATATTACATGTGTCGATCCAATGTGTTCAGTGTGAGAATTATTGAAATACTTTACAACTCCTTCAAATCAAACATCAATATCTTCATACAATATTTTGGATTTCAGGCCAAAACCAAGACACAGAAGTACAATGCGAACCCGATTTGGAATCAGGGTCTAATATTCAACAATTATTTCCCTCCACTGACTCACACACTTCGAGTAAATGTGCGTAACTCGGGGATCAAGGGCGAATTGATTGCGACGCATGTAATCAATTTGAAGCAAATTATGCTACAAGGTGCTTCTGGTAAGTTGGTGAAGGAGTATTTTTAAAATCTCATGTCATCTGTAATTTGGTTATCTCAGAGAATATGTTTTTTATCTTTGACTTGCTACTCATAACTCACCAACAGCGGTAAATGCCACTCGTTAGTTTTCATTATGATATTTGATTGTAGAATGTACCTGAGGAGATGCAGTGAAATGTTTCCGGAAATAAATCGTGCAACACTGTGCCACTCTGTTCTTTATTCTTACTCATAAGTAGCAAAATTGTACAGGCAATAATGGTGAATCTTGATCTGCTGGCCACAACAAAGTGGATATTTGCTTACGAATCCAAGTCAGTAGGTGTATATTACTGTACGACTTGAGTTATTGATGAACAAAAACCATAGCGAATAGCAGATTGCATTTTATTTTAGGCGTATTCGAATATCATGACATTCGTTCTGGTTTAGGGCCTTCTAGTTTCCACGATGGAATTTGGTTGTTTCCACTCATCTTGAAATTAATTGCATATACAGTGCGAGTGTTCCATCATTTTCACACCATCTTGTCTCTCTCACCCGAGACCTGAGGCGAGTAAATTCCCGCTGACCCCTTCTGTGATCTGATTGGTTCAGATTCCGCGATTTGTGTAACTTGGATTCCCTCACCCGGACACGAGACTGTCTGATAACCAGCTCGTAATGTTTTTGATGCTCTTGTTGTCACCTGCTGTCCAGTCGTGTAATCCTGACACTCATGCTGTGCACAGTAGGAGTTCACGGGACATTCTAAACTCTCGAGTTTGTGGAAAAGGTGCGGGTTCTTGCTCCGGTTAGTTGGACAAGCGTTACATCCCTTGTTGCAGCTGAACCATCCGACCGATCGATAAGTGAACATTATCCATCGTGTGATTGTCAGACCTGCACAGGAGCACAGGTTATGAGTCCCATGCTGCTTAAGCGTTGGTAAAAAAATCAGTTATGGAGTGATGCATCATCCTTGCAATTCTGAATGGAAAAATTTTATGCGATGATGACGTTGTGCCAACACTTTACTAGTCTATGATACGGGCACTATTTTTCTAAGGGCGTCCGGAAAACGGATACCATATTATAAGTTAAAGGTCGCTCACATTTGGGAGGGGAATAACCGAATGAACGTGGAAAATAAGTAGGGGGATTGCACAACTCCTTGGAGAACTCCGGAGTTGTTGACTAAGGATTCAGATTAAGCTTTCCCAAGTCTAGTGATTTTTTCTGTATCAGAAAAAACATTGGATAGTCAGGCTAACGATTGCTTGGCGCATTCAAGCGACTCCAATTTCCGTACCAAATTTGGTAGAAGAGTCGAATCGAATACAGACTAATACCCAAGAAAAACACGCCGAAACGACGGAGTAAACGCACTGCAATAAGTGTAATTCATTTATAATTAATTGATGTGCTCATTTTGGCTACTAACAGTACTAGTCAGTTCTCTGACTATTTGCCACATCAGTTAGGGCTAGTGATTCAACGTCAGAATCCATTGAGGAAATCCGTGAGATTCCATAGGGATTCCATTTCGTCGCACTTGGACAATCTCTCACTTATATGAACGAATAGCCAATAGATGAGTCTGCACCTTACCACAAATTAAGCAAATTGCAATTAGTCACCCCTCAGAAAAATTCAGACTCCTCCTCCGTTTACAATTATAATTTGATTATTTCCTTACTTG